GCGCAGCTTCTCACGCTCTTTGCTCTACCACGTGGAGTGTATACCATTCTCTCATCGCCTGTTTCTGCGTGGCAGGTGGGGCGCGGGGACGCGCTGCCGTCGCGGCCCCGCAAGAAGTGCGGCGGCGGGGGCGGCGGCGGCCAACGGGCGCCGGTGGACTGCGCGGGGGCGTCCAAGGGGCTGTTCCCGGGGCTGCTGGCGCTGGCGGCGGCCGCCGTCGTCGTCGTCATCTTCCTGGTGGTGCGCGACCGCGACCTGGCCTTCCCGGCCGCGTGGCTGACGGACGGCTGCGCCGCGGGCGCGCTGCTGCTGGCGGGGGCGGCGGCCGCGGCGGCCGCGTGGCGCGTGCGCCGGCTGCCCCTGGTGCGGCGGCCCGGCGGCGGAGGAGCCACGCCGCACAGGTGAGGCCGGCCGGCACTGGCACGTCGCTGTATTACTTGCTTCCAATGCGGGCAGAAATCGAAAGAAAATACACAGGGCCGCCTTTGGACATAGGCTGACGAGGTCTGTGCCTTAAGCTTCCATGATTAAGTGGACCCCGCAGTTGATAATGTGATGATCTTGTTCTCTAATGGGAGGTTGAAAAAGAAATATAAAACTATCTGATCCTCAATGGGATTTCAGTCCCATTCCTCTATTAGTCATTTTTGTTTACTTTTCATAAAAGGAAGGATTAACACACATTCTAATTTTTATATTTACTTTTCAGAATTTATTATGACAATATGACATAATAGTATTTTTTTCGGACAGTACTTAGTGGTCTCAGATCTTTCACAGCGTCGGGGCCCCATTTAACCGAAAGACAGTCCTGCCTATACACGTACATTGCCTACGGTCACGTGAGAGATGTCTACAGTTTCGTTGGATACGCAGAAACTTGAGAAGATATACAAAATAAATCATATATATTACTCGTTTTCAATGCGCGCGTTAATTGAAAGAAAACTATACTCGTATATCCTCCGGTTACGTGGAGTGTGTGGCGTGTGCGGCAGGCTGCTGGGCGCGGCGGCGCACCTGGGGCTGCTGCTGCACGGGGTGTTCGGGGCGCTGGTGGGCGCCGCGGGGCTGGTGGAGGGCGCCGACGACGCCCTGCGCGGCCGCCACGCGCTGCTGCTCGCCGTCTCGCTCCTGCAGGTGCGTCTCGCTCGCCCCCCCCCCTTGCAGGCAGCGCATTTCGAAGCATGGGCGCTCCTCGTGCGGGAAAACTGAATAAGAAATCCCTCTATCTTTGTCTAATCCTTTTCTTCCATTCCTTCTTCTATCTCCAGCTCTGACACCGATTCTCTCCCTCTTTCTCTCTCCTCTCTCTTCTCTCTTTCTTTGTCTCTCTCTCTCTCTTTCTCTCGTTATCTCTGTCTTTTTGTATCCCTCCATTTTCCATACTCTCGCTGTACTTCATCTCTATGCCTTCGTGTAGGACCCTCTACTCTATACCTCGTTCTACCTTGCCCTCTATATTACGGTCTAACTCTCTACTTCTACATATAAATTTGTTTCTTGCTTAAACTCTCTTCACCTCTCTTATTCTCCACATCTTCCTTCCTCACGATCCCCTCTCTCGTTTACACTCACTCCCTCCCTTTCCTTCTCCCTCCTTTCTATCTCTCTCTTCCACTCTCCCTCCTTTCTACTATCTCTCCCTTTCTCTCACCCTTCCTCTCTCTCTCCCTTCCTCTCTCTCTCCCTTCCACTCTCTCTTCATTCCTCTCTCTCTTCCTTCCTCTCTCCCCCTTCCTCTCTCTCCCCCTTCCTCTCTCTCCCTTCCTCTCTCTGCCTTCCTCTCTCTCCCTTCCACTCTCTCCCTTCCTCTCTCTCTCCCTTCCTCTCTCTCTCCCTTCCTCTCTCTCTCCCTTCCTCTCTCTCTCCCCTCCTCTCTCTCCCTTCCTCTCTCTCCCTTCCTCTCTCTCTCCATTCCTCTCTCTCCTCCTTTCTCTTCCTTCCTCTCTCTCCCTTCCTCTCTCTCTCCCTTTCTCCCTCTCTCTCCCTTCCTCTCTCTCTCTCTCCCTTCCTCTATATTTCTCCCTACCTGTCTTTTCACTACCTGTCTGTCCGTGTGCGCGCAGGTGGCGCAGGCGGCGGCGCAGGCCGGGCTGCTGGCGGAGGCGCGCGCGCGGGGCTGCGTGACGCGCGCGCAGCTGGCGCAGCGGCCGGGCCGCCAGGCGCTCACGTGCCTGCTGGGCGCCAACGCCGCCCTCTGGGCGCTCGACACCTTCGTGGCGCAGAGCTGGGCGGCGCAGGAGCTGCAGCTGCGCTTTTTCGGCATCCTCGGTGAGCACGCGCGCACGCCTCGGGGCGCCAAGGGCGCTAGGGCGCATGCGCTAAGCGGATAGATGTCTACGGCGCCACAGCCGGCTTGGCTGGCTCAGAGCATTAACCGATGTTGCTGCGGTGCCTCTGACCGGGGGGTCTTAGAGTGAGAGTCCCGATGGTGACAGGATACTTGCCAGACAGCTAGGTTCTATTCACTTCCTGTCGTGAGGAGAATTCTAGAGGCCGACTGGTCTGATTGGTAGTGGCAGTTTTCTATGGTTTCTCCGATAACACCAGGCAAACGCCGGAGCAGTACCCTAACAAAGGATCGCGCGCGATCTTTCCTTCCTCTTCCTTGTGCCATCCTCACCCCTTACACACACTAACGATTGCATGCACTACAATACCACACATACCGGGATCCCGGCTGGGAGCGTAGAGTATGTCCTAGCCCCGCTGGCGGGGATACCTGGTTGGGGAAAACCCCGCTATCCCGCGGCAGGTCGGAGCCGGATCTCGCCGTCGGGTGAGGGGAAGATCATAACATCTATCATGATACAACTTGCACTATATTTACGAGACTAATTATCTTAGGAATTAAAGCGTCCGGAAACAATCAATCATAAATGTGGCCACCGTCCAGTGCGGTCTCCTGCGATACTAGGGAGTTTTAGCACATTTGTAAGTTACCCTTATGCTTTACGTTTCACATACCGGATGAGATAGCTCAGTGAAGCCACTCTTGGCTCTACAGTATATCTGAATGGGAGGTCCTAGGATTTGTGTCACAACGTTGTCGATTTTCGGCACTAGCTCGATATGTGTGTCGAATTCAGCTGCTGGGTGATGTGGAATTGTAGCTGTCGGCTGCTCTGCGTCGGTAGTTTTATGTAGTTTGTCCGATCTATGCCAGACCTATATCTGAATTCCTAATCAGTGCCTGAATTAACCCAGCGCAACGGATCACGCGTGATCTTTCCTTTTTCATCCGTGTCCATATTTCTAATCTTAAACAGTTATACACTTACATCCACTACACTATCTTACATGTCTGGATACGTCTGGAGATCAGAGCTTCTTCTGTCTGGGGAATAGGGACGCCCTGGGAGATACCTACAGGGGGAAACCCGAGCAATCCGAAGTGTAGGTATGTGCCGGATCTCCGTGGGGGATATTTGTTCTAACGGAGACGGAACACCATACGTGTAACATGCAATGCACTTACGGAACAATGGCATTACAGTTGGGCCCGGAAACATGAAACAATCAATACTCGTATACCATTTAATATGTTAAATGAGTACGTCATAAATCACCAGCAAGAATATAGGGTGCTTTAGTACGTTTGTAACATCTTCACTTTCAGCACTACGGGGCTCGTGACTGACGATGGAACTGTAACGGCAAACCTTACACGCGCGCTGCGGCCTAGTGTTTCACACGTACGCTACGTTACACTCTTATAAAGTAGTCTTATAAGAGTATCATTTCATCCGTCTGTCCAAAATGGATTCTAATGAGCCGTAGCCTGGGCGCTTGCGGTAATAAAGAATGTCGGTAAATAAAGGTTTTTAGGTAATAAAGAATATCGATATGAATGCAATGATTCAGTTTCACGGATCCAAAAGTTCTAGGTTATATTCATATAACATTTCTAGAATCGTAATACACGGATCCTTTCGAGATCTTTCATTGGTTTTATAAACCTCCTCTTCTAAATAGGAAAAACATGTGTTTGACGTTATAACCAGCGATTAATTCTAAACTGGAATCTGTCATGGAGCAGGTTAAAGGAATGTCATATATGTGAATCACACATGGGCACAGTTAATATGAATCTTTAAAGATCTATTTAGTATTCTTTGGGAGTGAACGGTGATTTTTATAGTGCGTAGGCGTGCCGCCAGCGCGCGAAAACTCTTTTTGAGCTCTAGCGTCATGAGATCAATACGTCAAATATCACTTGACTTATTATGCATAAGGTCAGGATGTTACAAAATTGATTTCCCGGTCCCCGATCCCTCGGGTTGCGGCAATTTAATGATAATACACACACATGCTTGTCGGGTTGCCTATACTAATGGCGCTCCGTGTAGTACGCAGATTCTTAGTGTTTCCACTTAAATAAATTCGTCTCCGTGAACTGCTTGTAGATATAATATAATATTATTTATTGATATAATAAATAATATATAGACTTGATTATATTAAATCATTGTCATTGCAATGTTTGTACTTATTATTTTTCTCGACATTAAGAGAGGGTTAGAGGAAAGGAACTCGCAACCCATATTATAATGAAAAGTAAATCAACGTTTTAAGATGGAAGGATTTAAAGGACACTTCAGGTTCAAGTACAATTTCATGTGCACATTGTTTCTAGCCCTTTTCTTATATAACAATATTAATAAGTATTTTACCCTTACTCTTCATACATTTACTGTAAACATGTTATTCCTGTTTTATTTAACTTGATGTACTTACATTATGTTTTTGTAGCTTCGAAAATGAGACAAAACATAGTCCCGAAACGTTGCCTACAAATAATTTTATGAATTGGTGATTCATATCAATAAATCTTAAAATGCAAATCGACTGTCAATAACTCTTGGACCATTCTCCCCAAGTCAACTCTAAAAACGGGCCAATTTGAAATATTGGGAAAGAAATGAACGTCCTGTGGAGCGATGCTATTCCAAGAGATAGTGATGAAAACTAAACGAACACATTGAGGAATTTAGTGCATGGATGGCCCTCTGTTATTATGTCAGCAGTAGCCAAGCAGTGCCCCTTCTCGTAAACTTCTCTCTCTAAAACCAAATAGTGTAGGAGGAAATTAGCGTGATTGTTTTTCATGTGTGTGCCGTCGTTGCAGTGTGGGGCGTGATCTCGCGCGTCGCGCTGCCGCTGGTGGCCTTCTACCGCTTCCACGGCTGCGTGCTGCTGCTGGACGTGTGGCGGCGCGCCTACCGCCCGCCGTCGTGCGGCGCCGACGTGGCCGCCTCTTGGTTTATTTTTTGCTCATTACGGCATTTGGAGTGCATGATTTGTTTTTACTTGTTTGCACAGCCCATTTAACGACGTATATGTACGAATTTTTTCTTTATCCTCAGTACGTACTGTGCTTTTTTTTATTTAGCACAAACACTAACGTTACGTCGACTGCTGCTTATCTATCACCAGCTAATTGCATTGCTTGAGACTTTTGCTGCTGAGTGTTGACATGTATGGTTATTTGCTCTCGACTTTCGCGTAGCCTTACTATACAATCTCTTCTCACACGGCACGTGTCGCATGTACATCTGCTTAGCCCTCTAAGATTGATCGCCCAGCATTAGCAGCTGATTTCTATGCGTCTTTTGCTCTTACCACTTGAGACAGTGGTTTATCTTTCGTGCTCATTTTGCTCTCTCTTATTCAACGAGAATGATCTTCTCTGTCCGGCCAGCTATGTTATGCTTTTTCAATACCTCACATCAGACATGTGTGCTTTACTTTGCCCTAGTCACTTTTAATGTAAAGCGTTTTGGCGGAGGGGATCTAGTACTTCTACACGACTCTTTATGCTAACGTAAACCAGTGAGTGAGTATATACCACACGATGGCAAGCTCCTCATCGCCCAATGGTTTCTGCGTGCCAGGTGGGCGAGGGACGGGCGGGGACCGGCGCTGCCGTCGCGGCCGCAAGAGTGGCGGGCGCGGCGCAGGTGCTGGTCGGCGGCCGAACGGGCGCCGGTGGACTTGCGCAGGATAACGTGGGAGCGTCCAAGGGGCTTGTCCGGGGGTGCTGGTCTAGGCTGAGGGAGCGGCCGCGTCGTCGTCGTCGTCACTAATCTTCCTGTGGTCGCGCACGAGCGAACCTGGTCCTTCCGGCCCGCGTCTGAGACGCTGGCCGCGGCGCGCAGCATGAGCTGCTGAGCGGGGGCGGACGAGCCGCGGGCGGCCGCTAGCTGCCGCGTCGCGCCGGCTGCCATGGTGCGGGCGGCCCGCGCGGAGGGAGCCACGCCGACGCACGTGGAGGGCCGGCGCACTGGCACGTCGCTGTATTACTTGCTTCCAATCGGCAGAGAAATCGAAAGAAAATACCCAGGGCCGTTTGCGACTTTATGGATAGAGCCTGACGAGCGTTCGTGTGGCTTAAGCCTTCATGTATTAGTGGGACCCAACCAGCACGGTGAATAATTTGATGCTCGCATGTCTCGCTAATGGGCAGGTTGAAAAAAGGAAATATATTAAACCACTAAAAACTATTCTAGATTCCTTCAAATGGGAATTCATCAGGTCCCCATTCCTTTAGTTCTATTAGATCGATGTTTTTGTTTACTTTTCATAAAAGGAAAGGATTGACACATCTAATTCTAATTTTATATTACTTTTCAGAATTTAATTATATTTATGCAATACTGACCATAATAGTATTTTTTTTCGAAAGTAACTTATGGTCCTAGATCTTCACAGGTCGGGCCCATTTACCGAAAGACAGTCCTGCTATACACGTACATTGGCCTACGGTACACTGTGAGTAGATGTCTACAGTTTCGTTGGATACGCCAGAATCTGGAAGATATACAAAACTAACTCATATTATTAACTCCTTTTCAAGTGGCGATGGAAGAGGCGTAAGGCGCGCGTGTAATTGGAAAAAAACTATACTCGTAACATCCGTTACTGGAGTGTGTGGCGTGTGGGCAGCTGACTGGCCGCGGCACGGCGCCCTGGGGCTGCTGCTGCATACGGGTGTCGGGCCTGGTGGGCGCTCGCGGGCTGGTGCGAGGGCGCCGCACGAACGCCCTGCGCGATCGGTGGCCCGAACGCGCTGCGCTGCTTCGCCGCTCGCCCCTGCAGGTGCGTCTGTCGCCCCCCAGCCCCTTTGCAGGGCGCATTTGGCGAGCATGGGCGCCTCCTCGCGCGGGGAAACGAAATAAAAAGGAGAAATCCCATTATCCTTTGTCTAAAATCCTTTTTCTTCATTCCTATCTTCTATTCTGCAGCCTCTGACACCATGTGATCTCTCTCCTCCTCTCTCTCTCCCTCTCTTCTCTCTTTCTTTGTCTCTCTCTCTCTTTCTCTCGTTATTCTGTCTTTTTGTATCTCCATTTTCCATACTCTCGCTGTACTACTCATTCTCTATGCCTTTCTGTAGGACGACCCTCTACTCTAATACCAAGTCGTGTCTATCTTGCCCTCTATATTGCGTTAACTCTCTACTTCTATCATATAAATTGCTTTCTTGCTTAAACTCCTCTCACCTCTCTGATTCTCCACTCTTCCATTGCCTCACGATCACCCTCTCCGTACACCACTCCCTTCCCCTTTTCTTCATCCTCGCTTATCTATCTCTCCTCTTCCACCCCCTCCTTTCTACTATCTTCTCTTTCTCTCACCTTCCTCTCATCTCGCCCCTCTCCTCTCTCTCTCCCTTCACCTCTCCTCTTCATTTCTCTCATCCTTTCCTACCTCTCCCCCCTTTCTTCCATCTCCCCCTTACCTACTCTCTCCTTCTCTTCTCTGCTTCCTGCTCTCTCCTTCACTCTGCTCCTTCCTCTCTCTCTCCCTTCCTCTCTCTCTCGCCTTCCTCTCGTCTCTCACGTCTCTCTCTCGTCTCCCCTCTCTACTCTCTTCCGTCGTCTCCTCCCTTCCTCTCTCCTCGTCCCAGTTCCTCTCCCTCCTTTTCTCTTCTGTCGCTCTCATCTCCTTCCTCTCACTCTCTCCTTTCTCCCTCATTCCTCCTTACCTCTCTCTTCTCTCTCCCTTCCTCTATAAATTCTCCCTACCTGTCTTTTCCACTACCTGTCGTCCGGTGCGCGCAGGTGGCGCAGGCGGAGTGCGGCGCAGGCACGGGCTGCCTGGCGGAGGCGGCGCGCGCGCGGGCTGCGTGACGCGCGCCGCTGGCGCAGCGGCCGCGGCCGCACGCTCCCGTGCCTGCTGGGGCGCGCAACCCGCCCTCTGGGCCGCTCGACACCTCGCGCGCAGAGCCTGGGCGGCGTCGGAGCGGCAGCTGCTGCTTCGGATCCCTCGGTGACACTGCGCCACAGCGCGGGCGCCAAGGCGCTAAGGGGCACTGCGCTAAAGCTGATAGGATGTCTACGGCTGCCCACAGCCGGCGCTGGCTAGGAGCATAACTCGATGTGCTGCGGGTGCGCTCTGACCGGGGGGGCTTAGAGGGAGTCCCGAATGTGACAGGATACTGCCAGACAGCTAGGTTCTCTAATTCACTTTCCTGTGGGAGAATCTCTAGAGGCCAGACTGGTCTGATTGCAGTGCAGTTTCTTATAGTTTCTCCGATAAAACCAAGCAAACGCCGGAGCACTCACGCCTAACAAAGGATCGCCGGCGCGATCTTCTGCCCTTCTTGGGGCCCCCACACCCTCCACACCAACAAATCTAATGCACTACAATACCTACACATCCGCGATCCGGCTGGACGTAGAGTATGTTCTAGCCCCGTGCGGGATACCCGGTTGGGAAACCTGCGCTATCCCGTCGCAGGTCGGAGCCGGGGATCCCGTCTCGGTGGGGGGAAGATCCAAGTCATCTATCAGATTAACAATTGCACTAGATTACTGAGACAATTACTAGCACATTGAAGCGTCCGGAAACAACAATCATAAATGTGGCCCACCGGCCAGTGCGTCTCCTGCGATACTAGGGCTAGTTTTAGCACATTGTAAGTTAACCTATGCTTTGTACGTGTTCACATACCGAGAGATAGCTCAGAAGCCACTTCTTGCTCTAACATAATACGAAAGGAAGGTTCCAGACGGAATTGTGGTCACTAACGGTTGTAGAATATGCGGCACTCAGCATGATATGGGTCGAATTCAGCTGCGGTATGTGAATGATCAGCTGGCGGCTGCTCGCGTCCGGTAAGTTTTATGTAGTGTTGTCCGTATCTATGCAGACCTATAGATGATCGAGAAGGTGCCTGAATTAACCCAGCGCAAAACGATCACGCTGATCCTTGCCTTTCATACGTGTCCTATCTTCTAATCTTAATCAGTTATACACTTACATCACACAACAACTCTACATTCTCGGATACGCTCTGGAGATCAGACTCTTCTGTCTGGGGAATAGGGACGCCCTGGAGATACTAAGGGAACCTCGACAATCCAAGTGTGAGTAGGCGGATCTCGTGGGGATATTTGTTTACACGAGAACGGACAACACATACTGTAACATCAATATGCATTACGGACATGGCATACAAGTTGGCGCCGGAAACATGAAACAATCATACTCGTATACCATTTAATATTTAAAGAGTACGTCATAAATCACCAGCAAGAATAAGGGCTTGAGAGTTTGTACATCTCACTTTCACAGCACTACAGGCGGGCTCGTGACTGACATGAACTGTAACGGCAACAACCTACAACGCGCGCGGGCGCGTCCTAGTGTTTCACACGTAGCCTCGTGACACCTCTAAAAGTTATAAAGTCTTATAATGAGTATCCATTTACATGTCTGTCCAAAATGGAATTCTAATGAGCGTCAGCTGGGGCGTGTGCGGGTAATAAAGAATGTCCGGTAATAAACGGTTTTATAGTGTATAAAGAATATCCGGATATGAATGCAATGATTCAGTTTCACGGATCCCAAAAGTTCTAGTTATATACATATAACAATTCTCTAGAATCGTAATACACGGATCCTTTCGAGATCTTTCATTGGTTTTATTCAGACCTCCTCTCTAAATACGAGGAGGAGACATGTGTATGACGTTATAACCAGGGCGATTAATTCTAAACTGGGAATCTGTCATGAAGGCAGGTTTAAAAGAATGGTCATATTATGCTGAATGCCCACATGGGGCAGCAGTTGATATAATCTAAAAGATCTATTTAGTATTCTTGGGAGTGAAACGTGGATTTTTATGAGTCGGCCGATAGGCGGGCCGCCAGCCGGCGAAAACCCTTTTTTGAGCTCTAGCCGTCATGAGATGCAATAGTCAAATATCACTTGTACTTTATTATGGCATAATGGCGGATGTTACAAAATCTGATTTCCGTCCCCCGATCCCTCGGGTTTGCGGCAGAATGGTTAATGATAATACAGTTTCACACCATGCTTGTCGGGTATTGCCTATACGAATGGCGCTCCGTGTAGTGAGGTGGCAGATTCTTAATGTTTCACTTTATAAATAAATTCGTCTCCGTGAACTGCTTGTAGATATAATTAATATTATTTATTGATATAATAATAATCCATACTAGACTTGATTATATTAAATCATTGATGAATTGCAAGTTTGTACTTATTAATTTTTCTCGACATTAAAGAGTTGAGGAAAGGAACTGCGCAACCATATTTGATGGAATGAAGGCAATAATACAGTTTAGAATGAAGGATTTAAACGGACACTTCAGGGTTCCAGTACAATTTATCGTGCAATCATTGTCTTCCTAGCCCTTTTCTTATATAAGATATAAATCAGTATTTATTAATCCTCTTACTCTTCGATACAATTTCTGTAAACATGCTTATTGCCTGTTTTATTTAACTTGCTTGTACTTACATTCTATGTTTTTTTGTAAGACTTTGAAATATGAGACAAAACATAATTCCGAAACGCTGCCTAAAATAATGTTTTTATGAATTTGGTGATTCATTATCAATATATCTTTAAAATGCAATACGACTGTCCAATCAACTCTTGACATCTCCCCAGTCAACTCTAAAACGGGCCAATTTTGAAATTATTGGGAAGAAAAGAAGTCCTGTGGAGCGATGGCTATTCCCAAGAGATAGTGATGAAAACTAAACAACACGATTGAGGTAATTTAGTGCATGGATGTGCCGCTCTGTTTATTTACCATGTCAGCAGTCAGCCAAAGCAGTGCCCGTTCTCGAAACTTCTCTCTCTAAAACCCAAATTAGTCGAGGACGGAAATTACGCGCTGATTGTTTTTCATGTGTGTGCCGTCGTTGCAGTGTGGGGCGTGATCTCGCGCGTCGCGCTGCCCGCTGTGGCCTTCTACCGCTTCCACAGCGCTGCGTGCTGTGCCGGACCGTGTGGCGTGGCACGCGCGCCATAACAGCCCGCCGTCGTATAGCGGTCGCAGACGTGGCCGCGCGTGACCGCGCCGCTGGGGCGGGAAAGCTGAGGGCTCGCGCTGGGGCGCCAGGCTCCCCGGCCCCCGCCCCGCCTCGCCGTCGCCCTCGGCCGCGGCGCGCTGCGGCTAGCCGGCCGCCGTCGCCCGCGCCCTTCGCTGCCGGCCGCGCCGCAGCCCGCCGTCGCACGCGCTGGCGCCTGGCTGCTCGCGCTGCAACGCCCGCGTGTTGCGTCGCGCCTCCAGCCGCCGGCCCGCCCCCTCGGCACGCCCGCGCGCCTGCCCGCGCACGGGCAGCCGGACATCGAAGGGCTCACCACCGCCCGGCCCCGCGCTCCCTCGCCCGTGCCCGCACCTCCGCCCTCCCG